GGGGGGGGGGGGGGGGGGGGGGCATAGACTCTGAGAACGTCCCAGTAGACGGCCGTGTGTGTGGAGTCTCCAGAACCGCCCCCCTCCTCCGCCCCCGCCCAGCAAATACCAGGAACTAAAGAGCCGCTCGGACTGGAGCCGGTCCCGGGGGCGCCCCGAGAGAGGAATGCGCCCTCCCCTTTCCGGGGAAGGAGGGGGATATCTGTCGGGGCGCTCGCGGCGCCCGGCCGAGGGCGGGAACGGGAGCCAGGAGCCTCCTCTGGTGAGGTGGGGAGCTTTCCACCGTCTCCTCCTTTGCCAGCTTCGCCACACTTCTAATTGAGGATCCCCACGTCCAATTTAAAAAGCCCTCCGTCGGCCAAGCAGGAAAAAAGGGAAAACCCTTTTAAGACGGAAGGGAAATGTGGTGCCTCTGTCGCTTCCTGCTGGCAGGCACTGTGACTTGGAATGGCGCATTAACCCCGCGCCTCCCTACCCCTCTGCATCGCCAGCCATTTCGCACGCACCCGGGAGCTGGCACCGAGGGGGCGGGAGGCCTCGCGTTCCCCTGGTCCCGGTTGCCAAAGCGCCTCTGTGCGCTCGTTTTGCACGGCCTGGTGCGGTCTTCCTGGGCCTGCGCACCCGGATCCAGAGCCCGTGCTTTTTCTCGGGTTTGCAAAACAGCCCGCACGGCCAGAGGCACTGGGAGCTGCAGGTCGCTCGGACTTCCTAGTCCCTGTACACTCTACGAGCCCAACAGCCGCATCACGAACAAACAGACGCCTAAGGGATGTAAAATGCATTCGTCTCCGCAGCTGTGGGAGGTGACGGCCGAATTAAACGCTTCCCCGGGTGGCCTGAACCAGGACCGGGTCCGGGGTTCTGGGTGGAGATCAAGAGGGGGACCCTGGAAGGGAGGCGGGGATGCCCGGGAACTCATGGAGAGGAAAGGTGCTGAAAGTTTTGCATTGACCTGGAAACAGTCTTTCCCACCTCGTGGGGGGAAAAAACCAAGGTTTTCCTAAGAATCCGTTTTATTTGAGGGGAGGGTGATAATCAACTGCATGAATCTCTCAGTTTTCGCTTGAGACTTCTCTCCAGACACTAGTCCCCTGGAGACTGAACTGGGATTAGGAAGAGACTGGGTACCATCGCGCCCCGGGGTGCCTTGTTTCCTCCCCCTCTCCTCATTGGCTGGAGCTTGCTCCCGAATTTACAAGGCCTTTTCTCGCCCACCCCTCACTGCGTGGCCCTCCTTTCCAGAGGTGCGACCCTCTCCCCCCACACACACACACACTCACACACACACACCCTCTTGGGCTGAGAAAAGCTGAGTTCCCAGTCTGTGCAGTCCCACGGCCGAGGCCTTCCGGTGCCCGAGCACTTCCCAAGCATCCAGGACGGAGTGCAAGTCACCCGAGGGTGACGGGGACGCAGGGAGCTAGCGACCCCTTTGGGAGGGGACGGGATTCGGGCTAGATTCTCGCAAAGCTGCAAAAAAATACCACGAAGGATTGAAACTTTCCAGACACCTGTAGCCTTTGCCTAACAGCGATGGTGGCGCATTTATCGAGTCCTCGCTTTATGCTCTGCTAGACCTTTTCTTGCATTATTAATGCAAGAACTAATTAATTAACCTGAAGAGGTGGAATTCGTATTTTAAACTGGGTCGATGCTTCGGGAAGTCATTAAACCCAGATCTTCCCCTACAGGCCACAAGTCTCCTAAATCCCTGCCAACGTCTTGTTATGGCTACAAAATACCTATTTCGATGGGAAGAAAGACGCGTGGGCGGCGGGGGGGGTGACTGGTGCCACTTTGAACCCTGGCTGGTTCAAAGCAGGGTCGGCACCTGAGACAGAGGGGTGCTCTTGATTTTATTGCCAAAGGGAAAGATCTGGGTCGAGGCCTATGGAAGCTGCCGGGCGGGGAGGGGAAGTCTCCAGCGGGGACAGAGGACGCAGGGTTGGGGCTACCCGATTGCCCCCCCCACCACCCCAGAAATGGGAGACGTAGCACGCCAAGAAAGGGACTGGATAGGAGTCCTAGTGTTATAGTGTTGTGGGGGAGGGGT